GGCCTGAATGGCCAAAATAATGTTAAGCAGAAAGAACAAATCTGGAGGCACACATTACCAGACTTTTGAACTATATGATAAGGCTCTAGTAACCAAAACAGCATATTATTTGTACAAAAATGGAGACATGGACCAAAGGAACAGAACAGAGAACCCGGATATAAAACTGGTTACCTACAACCAACTGATCAAAGCAGACAACAACATACATTGGAGACAAAAAACACTATTCGATAAATTGTGCTGGGAAAATTGGATAATCAAATGCAGAACAATGAAACAGGACCTCTATCTCTCACCACATACAAAATTAATTCAAGATGGATAGAAGACTTAAATGTAAGGCATAACACTGTAAGAATTCTAGAAGAAAATGTAGGGAAAGCTCTTCTAGATACCGGCCTAGGCAAAGAATTATGACTGAGACCCCAATGGCAATGACAGCAACAACAGAAATAAATAAATGAGACTTAAATAAGAAAGCTTCTGCATAGCTGAGGAAATAATCAACAGAGCTAATAGACAACCTACAGAGTGGGAGAAAATATTTGCAAACTATATATCCAATAAAGGGCTAATATCCAGAATCTACAAAGAACTCAAAAAAATCAGCAAGAAAAAAACAAAAAACAAAAACAAAGAACCCCATTAAACAGTGGGCAAAAGACATGAACAAAAGTTTTTCAAAAGAAGATAGACAAATGGCTAAAAAACATATGCAGAAATACTCAACATCACTAATCATCAGGGAAATGCAAATTAAAACCACAATGAGATATCACCTTACCCCTGTCAGTATGGCTATTACTAAAAAGTCCCAAAACAGTAGATGCTGGTGCAGATGCAGAGAGAAAGGAACGCTTATATGCTGTTGGAGGATTAGTACAAGCTCAGTGGAAAGCAGTATGTATATTTCTCAAAGAACTAAAAGTAGACCTTCTATTCAATCTAGCAATCCAAGTACTGGGTATCTATCCATAGGAAAAGAAGTCATTTTATCAAGACACCTGCACTTGAATGTTTATTGCAGCACACATCACAATTGCAAAGATGTAGAAACAACCCAAGTGCTCATCATTCATGAGTGGATTAATAAATGTGGTATATGTATATCATGGAGTAGTACTCAGTCATAAAAGGGAATGAATTAATGCCTTTTGCAGAAATTTTGATGGAACTGGAGATCATTATCTTAAGTGACATATCTCAAGAATGGAAAAACAAGCACCACATGTACTCTCTAAAACTTGGAACTAATTAATGGACACACATGGGCACAGAGAGAAGTAAAAATCATTGGGAATCAATAAGGCGGGGGGGGGGGGGGGAGGAGAGGAAGGGCAAAGACATACCTAACAGGCAATATGAACAGTATTTGAGTGATAGACACTTATTGCCCTAACTTAAACATTATAAAAACTATCCATGTAAAAAAAAGATAAATGCTTATGTCATCTGAAAATACCTTCACAGAAACATTTAGAATAATGTTTGACCAAATATCTGAGTACTTTTTCCTACCAAAGTTGACACACACAATTAATCATCACACCTGGGATCCTATTACCAGTGCAGATTTTAAGCCCCTACCACAGACTTTCACCCTCACCAACCACCACAAAGTGTGCCCTCCTACCACTACATCACCAACTTTCTTTGATGCAAGTTAGGGTGCTAAGAACAGCCAGACACCACTTCTCCCCACTTTATTCCTTTGCCTGCTCTAAGTTTGAGGTTCTTGCCCTTGGATATGGCCATTGATGGGATGGAGCGTTCACATCCAACCACTGGCTTTCTCCACTGCAGAGGTTACAGGAGGATGGGATCCCAAGGAGCCCTTTTTGGAGGGGAATTCTGTGATCATTAAGGGCATGATGCCATGAAAGCCTCATGAGTGACTGACTAGGATGAATGGAAACCATGTTTGCAAAGATCAGCAGCCTTTATGCACTAGGGCTGAAGGCAGGAGCTATAGGCGGGGCCCCAGCGGAAAGGGGATCAGTTCAGACACAAGTTCTGGGACAAAGTGTCGGACCTGGAGATTGATACACAAGAGCCAGAGCTTTTCAGAGGGAGGCACATAAGTTAGATGGACATGACAGATGGAAAAGGCCATTGTCAAGGCCACTCCCCCTGGAGCTCCTGCAGCCACTTCTGGGCTCCTTCCCCACAGAGGATCCTGGACTCTGACAAGAGACAGGGAGGAGGCCTCCAACTACTCCCACCAGTAACCCTCTTAAGAAGCACACCTCATTGGAAGTGTGTGTGAACTTGATACCAATATATGTGATGGACAGGAAGGGAAGCAACATATAGGAAATAATGCCTCTTCTCAGACCTAAGCCCTTATGAATTCCGCAGTCCTGTTCTCCCTGCCACCCTATCCCTAAGCAGAGTGTGTCAGGGCCTAGGGCAGCTGTGGCTAGACCTTCTTGGCTGTCGCTGCCATTTGCTGCCTTCTGTCCTAATCAGCCCTCCCACCCCACAATCCTCATAATTAGCACATAAGTAAACAATGTCATGAATGAAAGAAAGTCATCTTTGAAGATCCTACAAAAGCATAATAAGTGAGTATAAACAGCTTTATGTCAATAATTTCTATCACCAGAATAAAATAGATACAAAATTGTATCTCTATTATGACTCCATTTATATAAAATGCATGCATATACATATATTTGTGTGCTTATGTGATGAAATTGTTCCATATGATGCTAAGAATTGGCCATTCCATTTAACATGTTCAGAAACAATGTATGAAACCATACACTTTGCCCCAGCACTTACACTTCCCAGATCTTGTCCTAAGGGACACCTAGCAGAGATGTGTGTGTGTGTGTGTGTGTGTGTGTGTGTGTGTGTGTGTGTGTGTGTGTGTGGAGAGAGAGAGAGAGAGAAACAGAAACAGATGAAACAGATAGACTACAGGGTTAGCATTTGCCCAGAGTGTAGAACCACAGGAAATTGTGGGAATTGGCAGGAGGATGAGTAACTGGAAAACTGTGGCATCACTGATGATGTAGAGAGAAAAAGTACAGGAGCCATGCAATGGGGTCCATGGTTCCTGCTCACAAGGGATACCAGGCAGCTCAGGGAGACTGAGTTGGGCCAGACTCTGCAATTGATGGATAACTTGTGAGATTGTCTCTCTTCCTCACAACAAAGCTGAGAAGTGTGCAGTGTGCTCTCTGTTCCCTAGGTGAGAGGACTGAGGCTTAGAGAGGTTTGGGAACATGTCTTTGACCATGGAGGCACTACACGAAGAACAAGGTTTGGCATCATTCTCTAAGTAATGGCAACTACCCCGCTAGCTCATAGTTTTAAGAAATTCATACTCCGACATATGGCTCCCTAATGTACATGTATATAAAGAATTGAAAAATGCCAACTGGTAGGAAATAACTTATGCCAAACATAAGAATGGAGGTATAATCTGTAAACTTGGGATACCTTAACTCTGTCATCACTTATAGGATTGTAACTTGAAAAGTTTGTACTGCTATTATTTGAATTTCCAAAGTTTATGCCCGCTTATTGTCTAAAGTGCATGCATTACAGAAGCATGGAAAATAAGTTGTATGAATGTCCTATTCAACTCTTGCCTGCAATTTGGAACTGCTAATTGCCAATTGTTGAGCAAGATTCCACAGAACTGACCATAATGCGAACCTCTGTGCTATTGTTGTTTGTTTAGAAGTAAAAATAAGTATCTGAACCCCTTCAAGAACATGGGCGTGGAGCACCTGGTGTCAGCTCTCTGAGGAATGTGCTGGGCAGACAGGCTGACTCTCCCTCACCCTGCAGATGCTAATGTGAGACTCCTCGAACAGTGCACCTTCAGGAAGCGGGATGGGGTAAGCAGTGGCACAGTGGATGAGAAGACAGATAGAAGCATGTTTAGAGCTGTGAAAAGGCCCATTTGCCATGGCCCATTTACAGGATGGGGGATAAACACAGAACATAAAAGAACGACACAGACATACAAGGACAGTACATGACTCAAGTGCCCAATGCACTGGTCGCTTTAGTTTTATACCCTCCAGACCCAAGGTTAGTTCCTTGTACTTGAGCATCTGAGCATAGCAGCGATAACCATCAATTCCGGAGTTGTTTCACAAGAGAACAATTTCCCATGATCTCAGACCTCAAAACGGTTACTTAACGCGTCAGACATAGCTCAAAACCCAAGGCCGAGATAAGCAACAATAAGCAATGCAGCCATCTGAAGAATATCTTGTTCTCTTTCAGCTTGCAGCCGGCCCCAACAATTGTGCCTGTCTTAGGTCATTCTTCCCTTGAGGAATCTTACCCGTCATTGACTACCAACCATTTAAGGGGGCCAGACCTTGGGAATGTTCTTCTTATCTTTATGGCCTCCAGACTCCAACCACGGGGGCCCACCGTGGGGGAGCTGGGCAGCTCTTGCTTATGTGCAGAAACTCGAGCCTCTTGTTATGTCCCAAGGCAGCAACTGTGTCTGAAGAAAATACTGGCTACCGCTGCGGCATGCAGCACACGTACATTACAGGCTATAGTGAATGATTAGTATAAGGCATAATGCCAGAATCAGCCCCCAACACCCATTTCCCATTCACCTGCTTGCAAATCATAAAACGGATTTTGGTATAGTCTTCGAAAACATTCAAATGATGAAGAATGGGAAATGAAATATGATTCCCCTCCCTTCCTCCCTTCCTTCCTTCCTTTCCCCTTACTAGCCAGTACACATTCCTTACAAAGCCTGTTATGTCAGGAAGCATGCCTGCTTCTGCAGGCCTCCAGGTAGAGCATCTGACAGAGTTCTGGCTGTTTCCAAAGTTCAATCTCTGAAAGTAGCATGTGTCCTTTCTCATCAGGATTTATTGGCAAACTGATGAAGGCAAGCCTGATGTACCTGCTAAGGCCAGCCAGGGATGAATGGGGGTGGCAGGACCTTTCAGCCCTGGCCCCATGGGCTTCTGGTTGGAGTAGGGGAAGAGCAATCTAGGAAACACAACATACAACGTGCAACATCATTCTTTATTATAAAAATAAACAATGATCACGAGTGGGGAAAATACACAGAACAACTGGCTCTTCGTGTGGTTACGTGACCTGGCCTACAAGGTAACTTTGGCTCCTTGGCCAGCTTGGCCTCCAGCCTCAGTTATGGGCATGCCCTGAGGCTATTGAAAATAGAAATGAAAATGATGTGAATGGGGACGAAGATGACATCCAAGGACTCCTTTCATGAGATTTGCTGGAAGGCCTCCTCTGGGATCTTGCCCTCGGCCTGAAGGGAAGGAGTTGGGATGTCAGAAGAGTCAGGTGTCCTGAGGTCCATGCCCAGGCCACCCACCCTCCATCGTCTTGGCCTTCCTGATGGCCCAGAGATATCCATCTTTTACCTACTTGATTCCTGGACCTCACCTGGAGCAGAGTGAAGATCTGGCCAGCTCTGGCGTAGTTCCACTGATTATCCTGAAGGCACCTGGGGTGGGAGAAGAACAGGTTATCTCCATTACTAACCCAGGATGGACACGCTGGCCATGCAATGCTACCACTTCACCTATGCTACTTTTTTGCTGGGATACATGTACCAATATGGGCACTATTGTAATGATGAAGAAAGACAGACCTAGTGAAAACCAGCATGTCTATCGCTGACATTCATGTCCACTAGAATTTGAAGCAGGAAAACAAGGGTGTTTAAATGAGCAAGGGAGCTTAATACATATTGATAAAGAAAGATGTTTGAGAAAATAAGAAATGAAAAATTTTAAACACAGGTTTCCTTTTCACTGAGCTATAACACACGTACTCTAGCATTCACCATTTTAAAGTGTACAATTCAGTGCTTCTAAGTGTATTCACAAGATTTTGCAATATCACAATTATCTAATTCCAAAATATTTTATCATCTCGAAAAGTAACTCCTTAACTCTTAGAGATCATTCTCTATTTTCCCTGCCCCCCCCGACCCTGACAACGACTACTCTGCTTTCACTCTCTATGGATTTTCCTGTTCTGAACATTTCATAATGAAGTCATACAGTATGTGGCCTTTTGTGACTTGCTTCTTTAACCCAGCATAATGTTTTCAAGGTTCATTCATGTCAGAACATGTGTCAGAACTACACTGTTTTTATGACTGAATAATATTTCATTGTATGGATGTAGCACATTAATTTGTACATTCCTCAGCTATAGAACATTTGGGTTGTTTCCACTTTTTGGCCATTATGAATAATGCCACTATGAACATTCATGTGCAAGTGTTTAAATGAAGATATATTTTCATTTCTTTCAGTAATACTTAGGAGTAGGATTACTGGGTCATATGGTAACTCCATGTTTACCATTTTGAAGAACTGCCAAAATGTTTTCCCCAGCAACTGCTCCATTTTACATTCCCACAAGTAATGTATTAGATTTCCAATTTCTCCACATCACCAACACTTATCTTCCATTTCATTGATTAAAGCCATCTTCGTATAAACTGGTATCTCATTATAGTTTTGATTTTTAAAAAATTACCATGATAATGGACTGATAAGAAAAAATGACAAAAAAATAAAAAACATAGCTTTGATTTGCATTCCCTTAAAGACTAAATGATGTTGAATAGGTTTTTATGTGCTTGTTGGCCATTTGTATATCTTCTTTAGAGAAATATCTATTCAAATAATTTCTCTATTTTTATTTCTATTTTATCTCTATTTCTCTATTTTTATTCTCTATTTTTATCTGTTTGTCTTTTTATTGTTGAGTTGTAAGAGTCCTTGATATTTTGGATAGTAGACCTTATCAGACATGAGATTTGCGAATATTTTCTCCCATTCTGTGGTTGTATTTTTACTTTTTTGGTAGTGTCCTTTGGTGCACAAAACCTTTTAATTTTGATGAGTCCAATTCACCTATTTTTTCATTGCTTGTACTTTTGGTGCTATATATAATAAACTGTTGCCTAATTCAAGTCATGAAGATATACACTTACATTATCTTTTCAAAGTGTTATAGTTTTAGCTGTTCCTTTTAGATCTTTGATCTATTTTGAGTCAATTTTTGTTTATGGTGTTTGGTAGAGGTCAAAGTTTATTTGTATGTTGACTAGCACCACCATTTGTTGAAAAACTATTTTTCTCCATTACAGTTTTTTGGTACCTGGTGGAAAATCAACGGACCATGAATGTCAGAGTTTAACTGTGGACTCTTGATTCTATTGCATTGATCTATAGATCTATCCAAATGCCAGTAACATGAAATCTTAATTACAGTCGTTTTGTAACTAGTTTTGATAGAGGAAAGTGAGTCCACCAATTCTGTCTTTTTCTTTCAAGATTCTTTTGGCTATTCTGAGTCCATTGCTTATCCATACAAATTTTAGGATCCATTGGTCTAAGGGAGGGGCAAGATGGAGGATGAGAAAACTGCCAGCCAGAGTGTCTCTGCAAGAAAGACAAATTTTAGAAGAAAGTGAAAAAACTAAAAATAAACAGACAGAAAAACACAGATTGGATGTGGGTTGGAAGAAAGGGTGCCTGAAACTCCAGGAGCCTCAATGGGAAGATGTTGCTGAGGAGAACTGGAAGGAGAAAACCCCCCGAGAGGCTTGGACACCAGCAACAAAGGTAGGTGGAGCCATTAAACTTCCCCTCCTTTGCCTCAGGGACTGCTCCTGAGCAGTTGGGGAGACCTGCCAACACCAGCCCAGACATGACCACTGCCAGTGAGTGGTGAGCTGCTTGCAGACAGCACACCAGGCTCCCAACTTGCTTGGGGAGCCTCCTGTCTTAAAGACCAGAACCAATCAGCAGGCACCATATTGCTTCATTCTCCCCTTCCCTTTCCCCACCTGTGGGTTCCCAGAGAGAAAATTTAGCCACCACCCAGAGACAACTGCAGGGAACAGGACCTCTCTTTTTGGGGCCCTACAGTGGACTAAGGGGTAGTCAGACTGTGAGCTCACTACCCGCCAGACCTCTGAGGTGCCACTTGCCTGGTGATTCTAGGAGAGCAGGGCAAATAATGAGGTGGAGAGACATTGATTCAGCTTGGGCACTCTGTGGGTGACTTGAGACCAGCACTACTCTCCCTGGCAGGATCAGGGATTGACCTCCAGGGCCCAGGGGACAGGCTTGTAGACCAGATCCTGTACACCTAGGTTTTGAATGCATTGCCCTGGGCCACAGAAGGGATATTTGTGAATGAGCCTACTTAGGTGTGTGTGCCTTCAGGGGAAGATCAACATGCTTGAGGGGCAACCCACCTCCCACAGGAGGGTGGAGTGTCCAGCTCAGGCTGTGATCCTGGGCAGGGACCCTCCAATCCCGCATCACAGTCAGAGGAGATCCACTGGCTTGAGGTCCTGCCTGTTGGCAGATACCCAGGAGAAACTGCGGAATAGGGGAGAGTGGAAAGAAGTGAGGCTTGCTCCAGACTGCAGATCCCAGAGAGCCTCACCTCCACAAGGAGACTTTTCAGCTGAGTGGGGCCATTTCAGCCCCTCCCTGGAAGCTTTGGCCAAAAGCAGAAAACAGAACTCTGACCCTGCTAACAGCATTTGTGGAGCTTGAGGGCAGGCTCCCCCAACCCAGCTCCACATAGACTCACTCTGTCACATGAACTGACTGAGATGGAGAGTAAGTACACACCTGGAAGTCCTAGGGCACCACCCGAGGCACTAGAATGCCTCTCCAGAGGAACAAGAGCTGGTGACAGGACCCAAAAACAACACTGCAGCCTGTGCCTCCCAGCAAGGACCACCTAGTGACAGGGAGGTTATTCTGTGCACCCTTTTACTGCATCTACTGACTCATCATACAGGGTGTGGTTGAATCTCACCTACAAACACCACCTACTGGCTCATAGACTAAACAAGGCATGCCATTATTCAAACGAAAATCTAAAGGTAAGAACCAACAGCTGATGCAGATGGAAAGGAGTCAGCAAAAGAACTCTGGTAGTATGAAGAATCAAATGGAAAGCACACCCACAAAGGGGAACACCAGATCTCTAGCAATGGACATCAACCAATTTCAGAACAATAAAATGACAGAAGAATAATTTGGAATCTGGATTGTAAGAAAACTCAATGATATGCAAGAAAAAAGTGGATAACCAACATAAGAAACACAAAAAAGAAAAGCAGGACTTGGAAGCAAAATTCACTAAAGAAATTAAAATATTAAAGAGAAATCAAACAGAGCTTCTGGAAATGAAGAATTTATTCGATGAATTACAAAACACAGTGGAAAGCCTCAAGAAAAGGGTAGATCAAACAGAAGAAAGAATCTCAAAGATTGAAGATAACATCTTTCAATTAAATAAGTCAGTCACAGAGATAGAGCAGAGAAATAAGAGAAAGACTAAAGCCTACAAGAAACGTGGAATTATTTGAAGAAGCATAATGTGAGAATCATGGGCATCCATGAGGGTGAAGAAGGAAACACACAAGGATTGGATAAGCTATTTGAGGACATAATGGAGGAAAAATTCCCAGGCCTTGCTAAAATTCTAGATATCCAGGTACAAGAAGCTCAAAGGACTCCTGGGAGATTCATCACAAACGGAAAGACACCAAGATACACAGTTATCAGACTGACCAAAATAATCACCAAAGAGGCCCTCCTACAAGCTTTAAGGTGAAAGCACCAGATAACCTACAAAGGAAAACCTATCAGAATAACGTCAGACTTCTCAATTGAGAACTTACAAGCAAGAATAGACTGGGACCCCACGGTCACTCTTCTCAAACAGTATAATGCCCAGTCGAGAATCTTGTACCCAGCAAAAATAAGTTTTGTAAATGAAGGAGAAATAAAGACCTTCTGAGAGAGAAGGACTGAGGGAATTCATCAAGACAAGAATCACCCTCAAGGAAGTACTTAAAACAGTATTACACATGGATCACCACAATAAACACTCATGAATATAAAGTAATCTAAAAGCTAAAGATCAAAGGCCAGATACCACATGGCTCAAGAGAGAAAACAAAGCAACAAAGTTTAACTCAACAGGATGAACAGAAGTTTACCTCACTTATCAATTCTCTCAATAAATGTGAATGGCTTGAACTGCCCACTAAAGAGGCATAGGCTTGGCGAATGGATAAATATACATGAGTTAAGTACTTGCTGTTTCAGGAAACACATCTAACCAATAGGATGCATTCAGACCCAAGGTGAAGGGATGGAACATAATAGTTCAAGCAAATGGAAGCCAAAATAAAGATGGCATGGTGGTTCTGATTTCAGATAACTTAGTCTTCAAATCAACAAACGTGATGAAAGATAAAGAGGGTCACTATATAATGGTGACGAGTACAATTCAACAAGAGGACATAACAATTCTAAATATTTATGCACCTAACTCAGGTGCACCTGGATTCATAAAGTAAATCCTACTTGATCTAAACAAAATGATAAACAGCAACACCATAATAGCCAGAGACTTCAATACTCCTCTGAAAGAACAGGACATGCTCCAAATAGAAAATAAACAAAGAAATAACGGACTTAACAGACCTCTAGAACAAATGGGCCTGACTGACATTTACAGAACATTCTACCCCCAAACCACTGAATATAAATTTTTCTCCTCAGCTCATGGGAAATTCTCTAAGATTGATCATATCCCAGGCCACAAAACATTTCTCAACATATTTAAAAAAAAATAGAAACTATACCATGCATCTTCTCAGACCACAGTGGAATAAAATTAGAAATCAACTCCAACAGAAACTCTCATCTCTACACAAAGCAATGGAAACTAAACAACCTTCTGCTGAGCAATTATTGTAATAAGGAGGAAATCAAGATGAAAATAAAAAGATTCTTTGAACTAAATGTTAAAGCAGACACAGTTATCAAAATCTGTGGGACACAGCTAAAGCACTCCTGAGAGGAAAATTTATATATATAAATGCCTACACCCAAAAGACAGAAAGATCACAAATATGAGTCATCTCAAATAACTGGAAAAGGATGAGAAAAGCGACCCCCAACCAAACAGAAGAAAATAAATAACAAAGATCGGAGCAGAACTAAATGAAATTGATAACAGAAAAAACTATACAGAAGATTAATAAAACAAAAATTGGTTCTTTGAAAAAAATAAACAAAATTGATATTCCTCTGGCTAGATTAGCGGGAAGCAGAAAAAAAAGAACTCTAATAAGCTCCATCAAGAATGAAAAGGGAGAAATTGCAACCGATGCAACACAAATACAAAATATCATCTATAAATACTATAAAAACTTATATGCACATAAACTGGAAAATGTGAAGGAAATGGAAAAATTCTTAGAAACACACAGCCTCCCCAGGCTCAACCACGAAGGAATAGAATTCCTGAATAGAGCAATATCAAATACCAAAATTGAAACAACAATAAAAAACCTTCCTAAAAAGAAAAGTCCCAGACCAGACACTTTCATGCTCAAATTTTACCAGACCTACAAAGAACAACTGGTGCCTATTCTGCAGAAATTATTCCACAACATGAAGAAGGAATGAATCCTCCCCATTTTATGAAGCCGACATCACCATGATACCAAAACCAGGAAGGGATGCAACAAAAAAAGCAAACAACAGACCACTATCCCTTATGAATATAGATAAAAAATTCTCAACAAAATCCTAGTAAACCGATTTCAGGTGCTTATCAAAAAGATCATCCATCATGACAGAGTGGGCTTCAACCCATAGATGCAGGGATGGTTCAACATATGCAAATCTATAAATATGATTCACTACATAAATAGAAGCAAAAACAATAACCATATGATCCTCTCAATAGACGCAGAAGAAGCATTTGACAAAATCCAACACCCTTTTATGATAAGAATACTTAACAAAATAGGCATAGATGGGGCTTACCTAAAAATGATACAATCCATATATGACAAACCCACAGCCAACATCATACTGAATGGGGAAAAATTGAAAACATTCCCACTTAGAACTGGAATCAGACAAGGTTACCCTCTATCACTGTTTCTATTCGACATAGTGCTGAAGTCCTAGCCAGAGCAATCAGGCAAGAGAAGGAAATCAAGAGCATCCAAATGGGGGCAGAATAGGTCAAACTATCCCTCTTCGCTGATATGATCTTATATCTAGAAAACCCCAAAGATTCTTCCATGATACTACTGATATTTATAAAAAAGTCATCAAAGTCTCAGGTTACAAAATCAATGTAAAAAAATCAGAAATCAGCAGCATTGCTATACACTAACAACAGTCATACTGAGAACCAAATCAAACACTCAATACCCTTCACAATATCATTAAAAAATATAAAACATTAAGGAATGTATTTAATGAGGTAGGTAAAAGACCTCTACAGGGATAACTATGAAACACTGAGGAAAGAAATAGCAGAGGACGGAAACAGGTGGTAAACCATACCATGCTCATGGGTCAGCAGAATCAGCATTGTTAAAATGTCTATACTACCCAAAGTAATCTACAGATTCAATGTAATCCCTATTAAAACACCAACATTATTTTTTATAGATCTAGAAAAAATAATTATACACTTTGTATGGAACCAGAGAAGACCCCGTATAGCCAAAGTAATCTTAAGCCAAAAGAAAAAAATTGGGAGGCATCAATTTACTAGACTTCAAGCTATCCTACAAGGCTATAGTAAGTAAAACAGCATAGCACTAGCACAAGAACAGAGACATAGAACAAATGGAACAGAACTGAGAACCCAGATATAAAACCATCTTCATATTGCCATCTAATCTTTGACAAAGTGAACAAAAAAAAATACACTGGTGAAAAGAATCCTCATTCAATAAATGGTGCTGGGAGAAGGGTGGATAACAGACTTAAATCTAAGGCATGAAACTATAAGAATTCTAGAAGAAAATGTTGGAAAAACTCTTGTAGACATTGGCCTAGGCAAAGAATTTATGAAGAAAACCCCAAAGGCATCCATAGCAAGAACAAAAATGAATGAATGGGACCTGATCAAATTAAAAAACTTCTCTGCAGAGCCAAGGAAGCTACCATGTTTCCCTGAAAATAAGACAGGAAAATAAGACACCCTAGGGCTTATTTTCAGGGTATGTGTTATTTTTTTAAGTACGATACAACAATCTACATTTATTCAAATATAGTTAAGTCGTCTTCTTCTGGAATATCATCATAACTCTCCAAACTCCGAATTTCATCCTGAATTTCTTGTGACTCTATTTCCTTTAGAACCATTGGCCCCAATCTCTCGTGTTGAGCAATAGAGCTCTCATGGGGCAGATGAGAAGGGCTGCTCGTCTTCTTTACCACTCCGCAACGAAATGCATGGGTTGTGCAGATACGGTGTGTAGCCATGCCCATCACTAGGTCTTATTTTTGGGGTAGGGCTTATGTTGTGCAAATGTTTAGAAATCCTGCTAGGGTTTATCTTATGGGTAGGTCTTATTTTCGAGGAAACACGATATCATGAGAGTCAACACACAACCTACATAATAGAATAAAATATTCACATGTTATACATCCAATCGAAGGCTTATTACTAGAATCTATATAGAACTCAGGAAAATCAGCAAGAGAAAAGCCCAACAATGCTATCAAAAAGTGGGCAAAGGAAATGAACAGAAACTTTTCAAAAGAAGACGGACTAATGGCTATCAAATATATGAAAAAATGCTCAACATTTCTAATCATCAGGGAAATGTAAATCAAAACTACGATGAGACAACCCTTATCCCCAGTGAGAGTGGCCTTTATCAAAAAGTCCCCAAACAATAAATGTTGGTGTGGATGCGGACAGATAGGAATGCTCATACTCTGCTTGTGGGACTGCAAAGTAGTACAACCTCTGTGGAAAGCAATATGGAGATATTTCAAAGAGATACAAGTAGAACTACCATTTGATCCAGCAATTCCATTACTGGGCATCTACCCAAAAGAAAAAAAGACATTCTATAGCAAAGACATCTGCACTAGAATATTCATAGCAGTACACTTCACAGTTGCAAACATGTGGAAACAATGCAAATGCCCATCAATACATCAGTGGATTAATAAAATGTGGTATATATATACACCATGGAGTTCTACTTAGTCACAAAAAATATGGTGATCTAGCACCTCTTGTATTATCCTGGATACAGCCAGAGTCCATTCTACCAAATGAAGTATCCCAAGAATGGGAAAGCAAGCACTACATGTACTCACCATCAAATTGGTATTAACCGATAAACATTTAAGTGCATATATAGTAGTAACATTCATTGGGTGTCTGGCAGATGGGAGTGGGGAGGAGGGAATCGGTATATACACAGGTAATGAGTGCTGTGCGCACCATCTGGGGATGGACATGTTTGAAGCTCTGACCATTTGTACCCCGATAATATGCTGAAATAAAAAATAATTTAAAAACCCCACAAATTTTAGGATTAACTTGTCAATTACTGGAAAGAAGCCAGTTGGAATTTTGCTAGAAATTGTGTTGAATCTGTAGACTGTTTTTAGTAGTATTGCCATGTTAACAATATTAAATTCTTCCAAAATATGAACATGGAGTGTCCATCCATTTTTTTAGGTCTTCTTTAATTTATTATAAAATTGTTGTACAAATTTCAAAATATAAGTTTTACACTTCTCTAGTTACATTTTTCCTAAGTATTTATTCTTTTGATACTATTATAAATGGAATTTTTCCTTAGTTTCTTTTTGTGGATTGTTCAATTGAAGTGGCATGGAAATGCAAATGATTTTTGTATATTAATCTTGTACCCTGCAGCCTTTTAAAATTTGTTTATCACTTCTAATAGTTGTTTAGTGGATTCCTTAGAATTTTCCATCCGCAAGATGTAGTCAGATGAAATCACTGTTTTAAAAATTCTTTACAAATATCAGTATAAAATTAGAATACATTTTTATAGGCCCATTTTTTGGGGAAAACAAAATATTCAAATACTTATTTTTCCAAATTGCCTGCATGTTCTCATTATTTACTCCCCCACTCCTCTCAGCTCACCCTATCATTGTGCACACCCTGCACTCACTTCTGAGACCACTCAAGTTTCATTCCAGAATGCATGGAGAAAACCTGCACCATTTTTTTCCGCTCCTGGGAGAGGGTGAGCAGGGAGCTGGATCTGGATGTAGGCACTGAGATGTATAAGGCGCTCTGGATCTCCTTGGGGCTGGCATTCCTCACAATCAGCTCATCATTCACAATGTACACACTGGAGGAAAAAAATGGGTCCTGAGACAACTTAAGAGATGGACAGCTCTGTACCTCCAGTGACTATCCTACACCCGTTGCCACTCAATAATCCCAACTTCCTTCCATACCTGGACTGTGCCTGGCTTCCTGCTTCCTTGGCTGGTACCCTCTCCCACAGAGCCCACCTCTGGAGAGATTCTCTACAGCTTAACTATATTTATAGTTTTAACCCCGATGCATTTACCCTGTAGAACAGCCCAATGAATAGAATACTCTAACCCTTATTTTCAGAGGAAGACACAGAGTCAGAGACAGGTCATGCCACTTGACAAATGTCATACAATGAGTGTTGGGGTCATGAAAATAATCCAGCATTCCACTCCCAGCACCCACTTTCTTTATGATCAGGCTAGACTGTTAATTGTACCTTCCTTTGCCTTTCCACAAACTCTGAAGACTGCACCACCACGTTCCCACACTACTGGCCCCTGCTATTCTCACAAATAACACAGCACTTACGTGGACTTGCTGGCAGGGATAGAGATGAAGATTCTGGTGAAGGCACGAAAACATCCCTTAGACCTTTCTTCCACTTCAACGACAACAAACAACAATAAATTCTCAAGAGTTGCATGTGCTTTACATGATCACAGAGCATTCTCCAGCAAGAGTGTTACTTGATACTCATGCTGAAGTGGCCCAGACCAGAACAACTGCTCACTTGGAGTCAGGAGGGTGTGGCGGGAATGGGCAGAGCAATAGGAAGAATCCACTCCCAGTGACAGGGGCCCCTATCATGTGCAGGGCCCTGTGAAAACCACTTCCCAAGTTCACTTGATTCTTTTGTCACAGTAGCCCAAGAGATGGGCATTATCGGCCCCACTTTGCAAATGAGGGAACTGAAGGGTTAAGTGACCACCCCAAGTTTGCAGAGTAAGGACTCGAGATGAAAGCCATCAAGCCCCACAGCCTGTGGCCTTAACATCTGAGCCATGCGGGGCAGACAGGCATGGACCTAGGTCAGAACGGGATGATTTGTGGGCAGAGTCGGGGCCGGAGAACACAGAAGGAAGAATAGGACCGAAAGGAATGAAATCAGGTAAGCTGGGAGAGTTCTGAGAGGAAGCCTGGCTGGGGCAGGGGGCAGTGTGGGACCTGGGAGGGGACTCTAAGACACTCACCTTCCTTGAACACCCCACTGACAGAAAAGCAGAGCATCCTTTCCTGAAAGGGAAGAGCCCAGGCATTCAGCATCCTCCTTAACCTGCTACCCACCTCTGGCTGTCTGGGCCTGAGGGAGGAAAAGGGCACTCACTGTATGGAACCACACGTCCACCAGGAAGGAGCTGAGGTCATGCTGAGTTTTGGGCAATTCGCTGAGGGAGTCCACGATGTCACGTTTTGTGTGCTTCAGCAGCTGTCTCTGCAGGTCTGTAAGGAAGGAGAAGCAAAGATCAGGGGCTGCCTCACCCTGGCCCTGGACCCCTGTGACTGTCCCCTTCACCTCCTCTTACCCTGCCCAGTCTTCCCCATTGCACACTCACTGGGGTCCTTGAGCATTTTCAGATTCCTGCTTTCCTTGAAGTACTTGCACAAGCTGCTCCTAGGAGAGCAAGAGGAACAGGAAGTGGTGGTCCAGCCAGTGCAGGTTTTCCAGGAGCCAGCCTGTGTCTGCTGGGGAGCCACGTGGCCCCGGAGCAGAGTCTCAGCTGTGATACTCACGAAGCTGGGTCCTCGGGGTTGAAGGGAATGGTCAAGGAGAAGCAGGCCTCCTCGTGGTAAGCATCCAGGAGACTCTGTCGGTCTCCAGAATCATAGATCAAGAAATACCTGTAGGGGAGCAATGAGGTAGGCTACCTCTGTAGTCTGGTTCCCAAATGAGATTTGAAATCTCCCATGAGTAGGCCTGTGCTTGGGTGGCCCAGCCTGTCCCAGCCCTCCCCTTCCTTGTGGTCCCAGGGGTACTTACTGCTGCAGGAATTGCAGGACTAGACTCTTTAGGGTCTCAGATCCTTTATGGCTTTCCTGGAATTAAAAGACATTTTAGACTACACAGATGATAAAACATCCCTTGAAGCACACCACATCTTGCTTGGTTCTTCTTCCTCACCTGGCAGGATTTTACTAACTCAGGGACTTCAGTGTCAGTGATAATTGGTGGAGATAACTCTCGGCCATCCTGCAGAAGGGAAGAGGAAGTCAGCAGTGGAGACCAGGGAGGTGGCACTGGAGGACCAATGAGATGAACAGGCCCAGAGGAGAACAAGAGTCAGAGGCCAATTGTGAAATAACTCTAGAAATTCCAGCAGTCGTCTTCATTACGGGGTGCTGGAAGTCTCTATTATTATATGCCTCTTTCTCTCTCTCTCTTTCTCTGTCTCTCTCTCCCTCACACTCTCCCTCCCTTCCTCTCTCCCTCTCTCCCTTTTTTTGGATGTCTTTTTCAGAGAGAATATTCTTGCCTTTTTCAAGCATCCACGTGCTCCAAAATGGATGAGGATCTGATGTAAACATGTAATCTAGGCAAGACTCAAAGGGCTTGAGGGCAGGTACAGAGGTTATGTATGTCAGTAAGAGTAAGAGGAGACAAGGATGATGGTAGGTACTTACCAGGCGTAACAATTTGGGGAAACAATCCCGGATGGCACTGTCCAAAATGAAAAACAAAATGAAGTGATTGACAGCTCAGGGTTACATAATCAATTTCCATCTCTCTCTCTCTCTCTTTCTCTCTCTCTCTCTCTCCCCTCCCCCACCTCTGGCTCTCCTCCCTCTTCTTCCTCCTGGAAAGCCCCCACCCGGACTGCCCTGACATCCTTCTCCAGTGCCACAAGAAGCAGAAACTTGAGCTACGCTCCAGGGATTCCTTGCTCTCCCTGCCTCCCTTTCCTTCCTGCAGGACCCCACGAAAGGCTCCGCAGGGAGCAGGGAATGGGGTGGGAGCCCAGGTCTCTGCTACCTCACTGGGTGTCCACCATTCTGCTGGGTCTGGCTCTGGCTGACAGCAGCTCACCCCCCAGGGATGGCCCCAGATGCTGGGGCAGAGAGGCCAGCGAGTCCAGGCTCAGGAGGCAGGGAGGGAAAGGTGGGGGGATAGCAGGAAGGGGCATGAAGATCTAAGAGGGAGAGATGGGGAAGACACAGGAGAGGCCAAGGAGAAATAAGAAGCAAAGCAGAAGGAAGGAAACGATGCTCTCCCATGGAGGTGGGGGTCAGGGAGGAAGAGAGAAGGAAAGGGCTCCCCTGCGGCTGCCCTTTCCCTCACCTGCCCCTGGCTGGCCCTGGGAACTGAGGCAGCAATGGGAACCACACACCCGTTGGACAGGGGCCTATTGGATGCAGGTGGGTCCTCTGTCACCTGGGTGAGCCCAGTCTGAGCTGGGCATGGGAAACAGAGCAGCCACGGGGACAGGAGACCTTCCCCAGAAGGAGTGAAGCGTCAGGCTCCAGCTCAGCATGGGGTTGAGGGTCTGGGACCCCCTCTCAGGATCACCACGTTCTGTTCCTATGGTCCTGGTCCAGCTGTGCACATATGAGCTGGCACCGTGCCCGAGGCGTCATTCCCATCTCAGGATACCCAGGGCTTCTCTGAAGGACCAGGCAGGATGGTGGGAGGTGCGGGGGCAGGGAGAGGCAGTACCCTGAGAGGCCTATCCTCTGTCTATGTCCTCCACCCTCTGCCTCCCACTCCTGCCTCGGGAAGCCCTTTGCTCCCTGGCGGTGGCTCACTTCTGGCTCCTTGATGCAGGGAACCCAGGTTCCTCCCCAAGGAGGACCCAGCTCCTGCCACTGTGCCAGAGGAACGGATGTCATCACGGCAGACACCCAGTGCCTCAGCCCTCAGCCCTCAGCCTGGGGCAGGGAAGCCACCACCTCAGCCCAGGACAGGTGGGCGGGCCTTTATGGAGCAAGGGAAGGAGAGCCCCTGTCAGAAGGGGAGAGGGGAGGCCCATGTCAGCACGGAGCCAGGAAGGCCTGGCTCAGCATGGGGTCCAGGGCAGGAGGACCCTTCTCAGTCCAGGGCCCCAGGATCTGGCCCAAGGCTGAACACCCTGGTCCTGGTGAGGCGGGGAGCCCTGCTTCCTGGAGCACACTCATGGAGGGCGTCCTGGAGGAGGCTGGCTGCAGAGAGGTGGAAAACACACCCCCGAGCAGGGCAAAAGGGGAGCAGGCCAGGGAAGGGAAGGAGACCTGTGAGCAGAGCTGAGGGACACAGACAGAGAGGAGAGGGCATGGCCTGTGATCCTCCCCGAGGGCCAATGCTGCCTCTCCCTGCAGAAGGGCACTGTCAGGGGCAGCTCAGCCTCCCAGGGGGCGAAGGGGACCAGGAAGGGTGACAGAGGTTACCACTGACCTTATGTAGGCGGACTGGTCTGGGAAGGTGCGGCACAAGGGGTTCCCTTCCAGCCACAGCTCTTCCAGCTTCAGCCCTTTGACCTTACTCAACTCCCATGTTGAATTCAGCTGAGAAGTATGAGGGGAAAACCGGAAAGAGAGTCTCAGGGAAAGAGAGACATCCGGGACCCTGGTCCCCTCAGTTCCCTCCCTCACCCTCAGGTACTTCTGCCTGCCTGTTGTCATCACCCCGATGTGCACTACCACCTACCCTCCACCCAAATTTGTCCTGGATCCCTCCTCTCACCTCATTTTTGGAGAGGTTCAGGATCTTGACTTTGGGAGCCTTCTCTATAATGTCAGACAGGCCATCCAGCCGGTACAGTTTGTTGTTGCGCAAGTTCAAGGACAATAACTTTGGGGGAAGAAGAGTTAATTAGAGTGATGTTTACTCTCTAGGGCCTCAGAGACAAAACTGCCCTCCATTCAACCTCTTCCAGCCCTCTACCTAAGGCCTCACCTCAGGGAAATTCATCTCAATGATCTGCAGGGTGGCAGCCATGCAGTTTCTTCGACTCAGGATTATGTCCATATCACGCCCCACCAAGTCTTCAGAAAAGGGAATCGGAAGGCTGAGAGGGGTTCGCCTGGACCAGCGGCAGCACCCACCCCTCCCCAAGTTGCCATCCCTGAGTCTCCCTCCCAGGCAGACCCCTCTGCCCTCACCTGCCCTAGAGTCACTGCCAACAGCCATACCTGAGTCAAAGCGGAGCTTCTGGAGGTCAAGAGCTTGCTGGGAGACATCATATCGTTTGTTCATGGTCAGCTGCAGAGACAGAGGTGGTGAGTGGCTCTGAGGCTGTGCTGGCGGTGGTGACAGGGGAATCGGGGCCTGGGGCAAGAAGAGGTGAGTCAGGAAAATGGGCATACAACGTGCGTTGAGTCTGCATTACCTTTAGCTGCTCCATTTGTTCTGGTTTCAACTTATTTTGCACAGAGTAGGGTTCAGCAGAAGGACCGACAAAGATAGATATCTGCAGGAAAGAGAGGCAGGGTAAGCTCCAGGACCTCTAATCCCACAGAAAATAAATGACCAGCCCTTGGCCTGTCCTCCTGCCCTGAGACTAGGTACAGGGAATAACCCGGACACGCACCTTTCGGTTCTGCTCATCGCAAACCTTGTGGCTGACATCCTTCAATGCAGAGGCAGCACCGGCATCCTGGACAAAGAACTGGGCCCTATTTTTAAAGTAGTGGAACTACGGGGAGTGAAGGCCAGAGCAACAGTGTCAGAGGCCAACAGCCCCTGCTGAGCCAGGCCTCTGCCCCTCCCGTGTGCCCACCCAACTGGCTTCACCATCCTCTCTTACATCGACCGGTGTGAAGGGGACACTGCAATGGCTCTGGATTGAGTTCATGAGCCATGTCTTGTCATAGTTTTTCCCATAAGGAATCTAAGGGTGAAAAGAAGAAACAGGAGAGAAGAGAGACACCACAGAATTAAGCATGGAGAACACATCCAGCCAGCAGTTCTCTTCCAACGTTCTACCTAGCTTTAACGAGCTTCTAAAAAAGGGACTGCTGACAGGATTTCTTATTTTTGTGCAAAATATGGATTCCCTAAGCCCCCTTACTCTCCATTCAGAAGCCCTCCTCCAAATAATCAACTTAAGGTATTAAATGTAGTCTACCATCTGGGAAGTTCTAGAATATTCTACCTAATACAAATCTTGCCAAGACACTCACTGTGACCTTGAACCAGCTCTCTATGGTTTTGCCTCGTGTGTTCTCCCACAGTTTTCTCCCTGGAGGTATTCTATCTCTCCACATAGTGATATGGATTTGGTCATCATGATGCCAATTCACTCTCCTCCTGTTGCGTCGGATGGTATAAGGAGTGCTGTGGGGATGGGGAGAGGAGGAGGGGTCCATGAATGCTAAGGAAGTCTTCCATACACCCTCCCCTCACAGACACCAGGGCTACAGTTAGGATTGCTCAGCCATCATTCCACTTCTATCATCCTTCACTTTTTCAGTCAGTAAAGTAAGACAAGACCACAGAGAGCGAACGAGTTGCACTGCCCCAGGGGCTACTACGTGCAAACCAGGCTGTCTGATCACTTACTGTCTTACTTGGGGGTCCTCGTGGACATCCCTCATGTCCACGTTTCCATCACCCGCCTTGCGGCATGAACGCAGACGCTCATATCCTCCATGTTCACAATGCAGGTTCCTTTTGCCAAAATCACCCCGGAAATAACTCCCACCTTTCTTCCTTCCTTGAGAATGGCAACCACCATCATTGTGTTCTAAAATAGGAATAAAAATTAAAGTCTGAAGACACATCAGTGGTCCACCTAACAAGTACTACATCTTAAGCTAACCTCATGATAAGGCAAGCAAAGTGCCAACCTGCACCAAGGGACCAATCACACAAACCCCAGAAAGCAAACTCCTCTGCCTGCCTGTCTGGACAAGAGAGCCTTATCTCACAGGTGGCACGATCCCGGAAGAAATCTTGGAAGAGGAAGCAACTGTGTTGAACCTTTTTAAAAATGGAGCAGGTTTTATAAAGAACAGAGGTGTGTGTGCGTCCCATGGGTCAGACTAGACACCAGCCACACACCAGGAAGCTGTCTTAATCTTGCCTCCTCTCAGGCTTCTCTTATCTAACAACGACATCAATCCCTGGGAGGCAACCTCTCTCACACCTCCCACATCCAATCAGCCACCAGACTGACTCTGTGAACCGTCAGCAAGCTGCACTTCCTTTGCCGATGCAGTACAAGCTCTAATGGCACGTGGGACTGATGTGACGGCTTCCTTAAACCATCCACCTGCCTCCAGTCTTGTCCCCAGCAATGCTCGGTTTGAAATATCGAGAGAAAGCTTTCTTTTTGCCCAGCCTGAAATGCTTTCAGTCCAGGAGACAAGGCCTCCTAAACTCAGCTCTTCTATAACAAGGGTCTGAATGGCAAACTGGAGTAACAAGCATCAACTACAATTTCCACATGTTTGGAGATTTCCCTGTTATCTTTCTACTTTTATTCTATTATGATCAGAGAGCACACTTTGTATGATTTCAGTTCTTTTAGATTTGTTGAGGTCTGTTTGATGGCCCAGGAGATGGTCTGCTTTAATGAACACTACAAGACGCTTGAAGGAGGGGAAGTGCACTCTGCTGTTGTTGGGTGGAGCATTCTATTTGTATCATCTAGATCCTGTTACTGTATTGACTGTATTATTCAGATCTTTTGGATCCTTGCTGGCTTTCTGTCTAATAATTCTATCCCTTGCTGAGAGGAGGGGGTTGAAGGCCCCAGCCATAACTGTGGATTTAGCTATTTCTCCATTCAACTCCATCGGTGTTTGCTTCCTGTACTTTGAGGCTCTGCTGTTCAGCGGGTACACACTTAGGATCATTATGTCTTCCTGGTGGATTGATTCTTTCATCGTTACGTAAGGCCCATCTTTGTCTCTCATTAATTTTCTTTTCTCAGATGTCTAGTTTACTGGATAACGTAGCCTCGGGTATGCTTACGAAGTGTTTCGGTTATATATCACCCTGTATTCACTCTTACGAATGGCATGGCTGTTCGCCCCTCCCCAGCCCCTACTACCCACAAACATATCCAATTCACCATGTGGCAAGATTTATTTTTAATCTACAGAAGTAAGATAGTCTTAATCCTCTCTCCCACAGTTAGCTTCACTTAGGGTATTTTATTTTTACCATGGGCAACTGAAACAATATACCGGCAGACAATAATTCTGCTGGGGTTTTCCTAGGGGTGGGTAGGGTATGGGGATTAAGGCAATTAGACCTTTAGAAACCAGCGTCCTCTTGGGCGCTAACATTTAAGGTTCTCTAGGTCTCTGTGTTACACATGTCATACACTAATTACTACACGTTCTCTTGGGGCACACTTGCGAATAAAAATTCGTTCACTGCTGATCTTTCCAGGATGTAGTGATCATGGCCAGGCCTCAGATTAATACTTCTAGTGGGGTGAGGGTGCCATTACTTTCAGTGTATGATCCACTGTCAGGACAATCTTGCTACTCACAACTTTTGGGACTTTCCCTGTGTGGCACTGAACATGAAATTAGGTGTGGGTAGAGCATTTGTCCTAGACATTCCACGCGCTCATTCCCGAAAACTTGGAGGTGGCCTGGAGTGCTCTCTTTCTCTCACACTCCACATCCAACTGATCAGGGTGGATACACCTTCTCTTGGCTCTACCTTTAAAATATATCCAGATATATCCAGAGTCTTGCCACTTCTTACCACCCGCCCCCCTGCTACCACCCTGGCCAGGTCACCAACACCTAACTTCTGGATTATGTGGCCTTCCAACTCTTCCCTCTGCTTTTTAACTTGCTCCCATCTATTTTCAACACAGCAGGCAGAATGATGTTTCAGAACATAAGCCACATCTTGTCATTCCTCTGCTCAAAATCCTACAATAGGGGTTTAAAGCCCATCGATATGTTACAAAGCCATGAGTCCATAAGATACTCAAATACAACAACAAACAGATCCTTACTGGTATCATTTGGAGGACACCAGGGAACCAATTCACTTTCATGAAAGCTCATAAATTAAAGAAACAAACCAAATGCTGAAGTGAGGGTTAAGGGTGCATGGTCAATGTATGGTGTACAGAAAGAGTCAGAGTATGTTTGAGAACCGACATTACTTTGGAAACCACTGAGAGGAAAGCGTAAAAGTGAGCTAGCCAACAGCCACAGCTACAATCTTGGGCAAAGCCTCGTGCTGAGAACCCCACAGGAGAGCCCGCGTGTGAGAAAAGGCCACAGAGGGGCCCGATGGACAGAGACACTGAGGACAAAACACACAGGCACACGTCCACTTACTGAATTCCCGCATCTCAGCACAATCCCTGCCTCGCAGTTGTGCTGTCAGAATCAAAGGCACTAACAGGAGCAGTATAAAGCCGCTAGTGCTTCTCACACAGACAGCCTGGGTCCCCCCTCAGGCTCCACCATGTCCTGGCTGATCCTCCCTCATAGACACAGTAGTGAGTATCCTTTATGACATCATGTGCATTCCTGCTGGTACTTCCTGTCATTTGGAACTTTGCCTACATCATTGCCATGCCACTGAGTACATGGAAACAGCATCCCTGCTGTGGTAGGGAAAGAATGGGGTGCGAAGGAAACTGACACTTGCCCAGTGGCAACCGACAATTTGCTTAGTTTTGGGCAAGCTCACTGTGTTTCTCTTGACCTCCTCACAGAAATCCCATGAGAATTGTCTCCACAATCCCTTTTCAGATCATGACTATTATGCTCACAGACGTTAGGTACATTTCCCAGGATTTCTCGGCCAAGTAAATGGCAGAACAGGATTTGTGTCCTTGCCTATTGATCTGTGCTCACACCCTGAGTGCTCCTCCAGCAACTGCACTGGTTCTCTCTTCAGGGTGAGCTTTTAGGTTTCTATGAGCAGGCCAGCAATTTCTGTAAGCAGGCCTGCAATGATGTTTTGTGCTAGTCATCCTGTTGGGGTGGGAACCAGGTGTCTTGGACCAGGTGGGAGAAATCTCTTTGGGTCATGGAGTTTGCAGATTAGGAGTCACTTTGGGCTGGCAGTATCTGGCAGAGAATGGAGGTGGGTGATGACAATATTTGTTGAAAGACAGCATGTGACATAGACTTGGGATCATCAACAAAACCACTTTGAGAATATATCCATCTCAACCATTTCTACCTACATCTATTTACTGATTCCAGACATATTTGGGCTGCAGAACTATTTCATAGCCTGCTTATAAAACCAGCACAAATTGTATTTTTATTTTGCAAAATTAATATTTTTTATCAGTATTTAGAAATAGAACTAAGTAACTCCCTGTCGACTAATGTTAAAACTGCAGCTTTGGTGATGTCAGAGAAGGAGGCCTTTGCTAATGGTGGTCACATCCAGCTCACAAGACTGTGAGCTTTCTGGACATCTGGAGTGTGTAGAAAGGAGGCTGTTCTGGACCTGCAGGCATGTCTGTGGTCAGTCTTGTAAGAGACAGGAAGTACCAGCTGTCTCAGAGAAAGGGGTGAGTGTGTGTGTCTGTGTATGTGCACCCATGCCTAAACTCATGCACATGTGTGCATGGGCATGTATTCACATTTTGTATTATATGCTTTAATAATTAGGTTACAGCTTCATGTCTTCCAAATCATGCTGATAAATACATTGCCACACAACACTGGATCCCATTGCACATTTCTTTTCATGTGTTATGTATTACATATGGCCAAATTTTGTTTCTAGTTTTGAATATGTTTTTTAGTGCTCTTTTTTTCCTTAACACCTTGGTGTTTTAATATTTGACTTGATTGTTTCAAATTAAGAAAGTAATAGAGTTATCTGTACAAAAACATAATGAAACTATACCCATGGGTTGGCCAGGATTATAGAACATCCCCAAGGGTGGAGGTTAAAGGACCCAGTGGAGCACAGCCTGAGCTTCAGAGTGGGCCTCAGATTTTGAGTCCCTGCTATACAGTTTCCTGGGAAAATTACATGAGCATTTTCAATCATCAGAGACATTTTCCTAAGGATACCTAATGACATTTACTCCAATGTGCATTTCCACTGTCCGTGTGTGAGTTTAATTTCCTGCAATATTCTTAACTATTCAAAAGTCATTCTTACACTTTGACCCAGACATTTCACTTTTTGAATTTTTCATACAAAATATTCTGTCTAAATGTATATATATATATATATATATATATATATATATATATATAATTATATGGCTGTACATTACAGGTTCTTTGGGGTGGAAGGACGATGGGAACAGAGGGTGGCCGATATTCTCAGGAGAGGGTAGAAACGATTGTCCTTGGAATCAGGTACAGATGGAAAAGAAGGGGTGTGAATACCTGATATATAGAGTAAAGAGGCCGGGGGATGGGTGTATGTGTCAGAAAGAGGAGCGCAAGTATTGGGGAGAGAAGGAAACACACATCAAAAAAGCCTCTGAGAGGCCGGGCGCTGTGGCTCACGCCTGTAATCCTAGCTCTTGGGAGGCCGAGGCGGGCGGATTGCTCAAGGTCAGGAGTTCAAAACCAGCCTGAGCAAGAGCGAGACCCCGTCTCTACTATAAATAGAAAGAAATTAATTGGCCAACTGATATATATATAAAAAATTAGCCGGCATGGTGGCACATGCCTGTAGTCCCAGCTACCCGGGAGGCTGAGGCAGCAGGATCACTCGAGCCCAGGAGTCTGAGGTTGCTGTGAGCTAGGCTGACGCCACGGCACTCACTCTAGCCTGGGCAACAAAGTGAGACTCTGTCTCAAAAAAAAAAAAAAAAAAAAGCCTCTGAGGAACTGAATTCACGCTGGTGATATGTTCCCCTTCGGAACCCTTCTTTCTTTCTATGTATACCTTGCCTGTCTCTGTTACTTCACCTTCAAGTTGAACACCATAGAAACAGTTCCCACATAATCTGGGAAAGGAAAGAGAGTACATGGGAACAGGGTGCAATAATGGGTATCCTGGACAGAAGGCTAGATGGAGTCAGGGGACGAGGATTTCAGACACCACACCCATGACTGCCCACCAGACTTTGAGTCCTGTCCCCCTGCACGCTTCAGCTCTAAGACAGAGTCGCACATTATTGGTTATGGGCATAGGATGTGAGGTCAGATCCATCAGGATTTGAATCCTGGTGCTAAATTCTATGGTCCAGGGCAAGTAACTTTGGCCTCACTGTGACTCAAGTTTTTTTTTTCTTCCCCTAAATCAAGGGTAGTAATAGTTTCTACCTCATGGGGTTACTGTAAAAAATAAGTGAGTTAACATATGGAAATACATGGAAAGCACCTGGATAAATCCCTACAACCTAATAAGCACTATAAATAAATTGGATGTTACTAAATCAAGTACTTGTACAACACTGATGTTTAGTGAGGGATGAGTATGTGTTAGTTGTATTTGTTGCTATTAGACCTCCTGTAAATGAGAAGTAAAACAGATGGGTGAATGGGAATTGGTTTCCCTGTCGCTATTAATGTATTTTACAAGATGGCAGCAGTAAAACAGGGCAGCCCTGGTGAGAAATAATCTGACATATGCATTCAGAGACTGAAATAGGTATATGGAAGAATTCAATGAGGGGCTTAATTTCCCATTCCAAATGTTTGGAGGAGGAAATTTATTATTATTCAAGAAATCATTCTGGTTTAAGTGGTAGACTACAAATAGAAAGGTAGAATATTCCTCACACCACATGATATATGATATAATGTGAAAGAAAAAAATATCAGGATATAAAACTGTATATTACAGACTGGAATTAGCAAGATTGTAAACTAGAAAATTATAGACTCTCCTTCCTCTGCATAAACACTAAGTCGATATATAAGTCAGACTACCTTTGAGAACTCTAAAGACCAGTTGAGAAGCTACAGCTCCTAGGCCATTGTGAAACCAAAAGCAATTCCAGCAAAAGAGGTAAAATAATTTGTGGTATTTGGTGCATCCAGCCATGCCCATTGTTCTATGTTGCATAATGCAGAACAACTGTGAGGAAACCTCCCATACTGGAGATTCTCCCTTATGAAGAAAACAAAAGTGGACTATATGCCTAATTTTCTGACTCATATGGAGGCTGCCTGAGGGACTAGTTTCTGCCTTGCTTGACTCCAAGTGCTAAAGGGACCAGTGCCAGATTTTGGAAACTACTGAAAACAAAGGTGAGCAGCATGTTGGAACTGTAGTTCCACAGGAAGGTGCCATGGGGATCAATAGATTACAAAATGCTTGTGAGGTCCTAGATCCTTCAGCTATGCTGATGGTTGATGGCCTTCCCCTGCACAAAGCCTGTTTACGAAGTCTGGGAGAGGTGGCTATTTTTCTAAATGCACAAATTCTAACCATCCCCCTCAAAGAAAACCCCAAAACCAAACAAGAAAATACAAGGCATACAGAGAAACAAGGAAACATGGCCCAATCAAGGTAACAAAATAAAACTCAGAAAGAAACTCTCAAGTAACAGATTTATGAGCTGACTGACAAACAATTTAAAATATCCATCATAAAGATACTCAATGAACTAAAAGAGAACACAGATATACAACTATGTGAAATGAGGGAAATGATGAATGAACATAATGAGAATATCAACAAAGAGTTAGAAACTATAATTTATAAAAAGAGAAATTCTGATGTTGAAAGATACAACAACCAAAATTAAAAAAATTATTAGAAGAGTTTAATAGAAGAACTGATCAGGCAGAAGAATCAGCATACATGAAGATAGGTCATTTGAAATCACTGTCAGATGAGCAAAATTAAAAAAGAATGAAGAATATTGAAAAGAAGCTAAGGGAATTTGGGACATGATCAAGCAGGCAATATATGCAGTTTGGAAATTCCAGAAGAATAATAGAGGAAAATAGGAGCAGAAGGCTTATTTGAAGAAATACTGGCCCAAAACTTGCCAAATCTGAAAAAAGAAATAGACGTACAGATTCAAGAAGTGCAAATATCTCCAACTAGGAAAATTCAAAGACCAAAGCCCATTACAATCAAACTGTATAAAGTCAAAAAGAGAACCTTAAAATCAGCAAGAGAAAAATGATTTGTCACATACAATGGAGCTTCCATAAGACTATCAGTAGATTTCTCAGCAGAAACTTTGTAGGCCAGAAGAGAGTGGGATATATATTCAAAGCACTGAAAGAAAAAGAACTATCAACCAAGAATAGTGGATTCAGAAAAACTGTAATTCAAAAATGAAGAAGAAATCAACACTTTCCCAGATAAACAAAAGCTCAAGAAGTTCATTAGCACTAGACTTTCCCTAGAAGAAATGCTAAAGGGAGTCCTTCAAGTTGAAATGAAAAGATGGTAGGAACAAAGCTGTACAAAAACATAACTTTTCTAGGAAAGGTAAATAAATGGTCAAATATAGCAATTTATACTATTTTAATTTTGTATACAGAATTCGAATGACAAAAACATTTTAAAAACTATAAATCTATTTTAATGGGTACATAATATATAAATAT